ACAACCATTGTCTTTCACTCAGATCTTGGTTCTCAAAATGTGGTTAACAGATTCTTAGTGATTCCCTTGCTGGCAATCCAGAAAAGCAAAACTATTTTGCCATAGTACTAAAACACTCTTTCACAATATTGACATTTGTACCATGGTACAAAAAATAATGGTAAAATTGCTGTTCCCTCCCACAATTAAGGACATCAAACTATACTAATGACCATTGTATATCATCACATGCACTCTTCATCCCCTATAGAGCATTAAAAAACATTAATTTTATTAAATCTTGATCCTTACATTTATGTCTTTTAATAGTCTATATAATGCCAACAAGCATTTTTTTGCTGCATACTGAAATAATATCTTTCTCTGGGACAACTGAATTGAGAGCTGAACTAAATACATTTTTTATGGAACATCATTTTCACTTAAAAGAATGACTGCTATTTTTTTAAAAAAAGAAGAATTATGCAAAATTACATATAAGATGGTGTGAGGGGGAAGAAAAAAGAGAGAGAAACGTGTCACAATAGATTGGATAGCAAGAGATGAGGGGAGGGGAGGGGAGGGGAGAGGAGGGGGTGGATAGGAAGGGTAGCAGAATACAATAGATACTATTGCCCTATGTATAAACGTGGCTGTATAACCAATGTGATCCTGCAATCTGTACACGTGGAAAAATAAGATTACGTACCACATTTGAATCAAATGTATGATATGTCAAGATCATTGTAATGTTTTGAGCAACTAATAAAATTAAAAAAAAAAAAGAAGAAGAAGAAAAGAAAAAGAAAGAATGACTGATATAGACAAGCCATGGCAGACATTTTCTGTAACGGAAAAAAGTGAGCTTATCACTTCAAGTAAAATAACTGGTAGTTTATTTGTTAGCTTTCAAGCTAAAATTTGACTTTTGGAAACACATATCCATGACTGTGAGCCTGAGGGTTTCCCAATTTTTAAGGACTTTGAGATTAGTAGTAATAATAACAAATGTGAGTTATTAAATACTGTGTAATAAAATATGTCAACATCCAGAAGATCTGAATAACTCCATGAACTAATAATTTTTTCTCCCAAATGAATGTTATAAATATCCATTCAAGGGCATGAGAAGCCACTGGATTTTATTTTATTTATTATTTTTATTTATTTACATTTTCTAGAGAGTGAAGCCAGGGGCACTCTACACTGAGCTATGTCCTCAGCCCTTTTTATTTTTATTTTTTTTATTTTGAGCCAGAGTCTTTCTAATTTGCTGAGGCTGGCCTTGAGTTTGCAATTCTCCTGCCTCAGCCTCCCCAGTGGCTAGGATCATATAGGTATATGCTTCTGTGCCGTGCTAAATCACTATATTTTAGTATTACAAAGAAAAACCTTATTGATGTGCTTTAAGAGTCCATACAATTGACCCTGAGGAAAGTGATGTCTGTCACATTTTGGCTTAATATTGAAGAAGATGCTCTGTATGAGGTCATATATTCTTTGATACACAATAGAAACAGCTTATCCTTCACTGACTGGCTGGAGAAGCAGCTGTGAGACTAGCTGCATTCTATGAAAAGAAAGATTTCTAAAAATGCTGAACACTGCTATTCTCAGCAAATATTTTTGTTTTGAAAAAAATAGTTATTTTTATAAAAAAAGTTATTTCTGTTAATATGAAAGGCTTATTTTAATGCATTAGTAATCATTTTCTGTTTAATTTCTAATATAGTAAATATTAATAAGTGTAACTCACTTAAAAACTCTTTGGGGTCCTCAATTTTGAAAAATAAAAAGGATCCTGAAATGAAAATTGTTTGAGGACCACTGACCTAGATTATTACAAGACTCTATTTGGTCTTTCTGCTTCCCACCTACCCCACCATACCCCTATCTTGTCTCAATACACCAAAGTCATCCTCTTAAAATAGAAATCAGCCTGTTGTTCCTTTACTCAGACACTTTCGTAGGCTTCGCATCTCACTCAGAATAAAAGCTTGAGTCCTGAAGTTTGCCTACAAAGCCCTACAGGAGCTCCCTCCCATTACTAACTTTCCCAAACCATGACCCACTACACCCACACACTCCCCCCACCACCATCACCACCCACCCCACCCCCACCCCCACCCTTGCTAGCTTCTCCTTCTTTTCCTTCCATATAAGTGACAAGCACACTTCTGGCTGAGGCTAGTCCTTCTGCCTAAAGGCTCCTTCCCACAAACAGTTATCCACTCAGAAGCTAGTTTTGTTTTGTTTTGGTACCAGGGATTGAACCCAGGGGCACTTAACCATTGAGCCACATTCCCAGACAGGTCTCATTAAGTTGTTAAGACTGGCCTCGAACTGCCCCCCTATCACTGGGATTACAGGTGTGTGCCACCTCCAACCGAATCTGGTTTCTTGATGCGGTCTTGTCAATGATCAATTTAACATCACAAAACCCATCTCGCACACTCCTCATTGCCTCCCCGCTTCATTTTCCTCACAGCATTTATTGCCATCCAATATATTTTACCAACTTATGTTTTTTATTTTCTTTCTCTCTCCACTAATATACATAGTGCCAAGATGACAAATACTTATTTTATCATCTATACTTAGGCCATCGAATGGTCTGAGCTCACAAACTCTGAGTTTGCATAAGGAGGGTCATTTTGTAGACATTTGAATAGAATTTACTTGCATCCCTGCCTGGCCTAAGTGGACAGGATATGTCCCATTCCTCAGCAAACTGCCTGTTAAATGCAGGCAGGAAACAGTGTTCATAAAAGGAATCCAAGTTACCTTAAAGGGAGAGACTTTTGTGACTCACAGACCAGATTCTGTAAAAATGATTAAGAATCCAAGTAGAACTGCTCATCATGGGACAAGGTGACATAGAGTTGTCATGGCAGTGGGGACTTGAAAGTCTGATGTTATCCTGTTGCCAGTCAAAAGTCAAGAGGTGGACCTGGGTGGGACTCTCTGGAAACTTCCCTGAGACCCCCAATAAAACTGGAGTGTAAGATGCTGTCCCTCTCCTCTCTGAGAGGACCCCTCTCTCCCTTGAGAGTGTTCCCTTTCCCTGTCCCTTCAATAAATCATTCTTGTTCCTCTGAGGACAGGATCTGAAATCTTTCTGACTTGATCACTAGAATCAGGTTTGAAGAGGGGGTTCTCCTGCTACCTCAGTTCCTCAGAAGACCCCAGCTCTGTAACAGTGTTGTACTGGTGAGTGTCTGAAAACTACTTGCACATATAATTAAAGTTTCCTGGAGAAGATTAAAGAGGGTGAGAAGTGTAGCTCAGTGGTAGAGCACTTGCTGGGGTTTCATTTCCAGCACCCCAAAAAATAAAAATTAAAAAAAGATAATTTTTTTTTTTTTTTGAGACAGGAATGCCCTACGTTGTCTGGGCCGATGTTGAACTCCTAGACTCCACGGATCCTTCACCTCAGGCTTCCTCAGGCTTCCAGGCGTTTGCCAAGGCACCTGGCTCAAGGTCAAACAATGTGTAATTAAAATATTTAATATTATTTTCTTTGCTTGTACATGAATAGGTAAGGAAACAAGGGAAAAGTTCTGAATAACTCAAAACATCTCTTTACACAACACTACCTAAACTAATAATGCTAATAACTAGAAGTAGTTCAGCTAATAAAGAAATCTTGTTTTGATCAGATGATTTTTTTATATTGACCAAGTTTTATAGCAATATCCACAGCAAGGACAAAGAGTGGGGATTTTTAGGTGGTTTTCTCCCCATTTCTGTTCTGCAGGGTTTTGGAAAAAAAAAAAAAAAAAGTACATTTTGTGTAACTTCTGGAACATTTTGTCTGAAAACCAACAGCACAGGTCCCCCCTAATTAGGTCACATTACCGTGAATGGAGGGAGTGCCAAGCCTGTCTGTCCTTAGTGTGGATGTCTCTCATGAGCCTCCTGCTGGGAACCCTAATAGGATTTCTTCCCCTTATACCTTCGCTGGCCCTGGCGCCTCTCCCTGTTCTATGGCATTTGGTTTAATGAGACAACTCCTGTGATCCAGGGGTGGGAGCAGGTGGGGGTGGGGTGTGAGGATTCTATCTCTTCCTCAAATAGACAAAGGCATAGCCATATCGAGGGAATTCAAAATTCTGCTCTCAGTTTCCTGCCGTTTTATGTTACCAGTGTTTGATGACATCTTGAATATGCTGAGCCAGGAGATCACAGTAGCCACTCAATCTCAAAAATTGAGCCACAGTGGACAGACTGCATCTCACAGAAGTTCATTTAGCCTTTGAAATGTGGAAAGACAGAAGAAATCAGGTGGGTCGGTTTGCAGGGTGAAGAAAACTGGAGGAGAGAGTAGGAAGCTCTGAAAGTTTTCTTAGGAAGTAGAACTTGAAACATAATCGAGTGTTGCTGAACTAAGCTAACAAAGTACACACTTTTTTTTTTTTTTAATTAGAGCCAGGCATAGTGGCACACACCTGTAATCCCAGTGGCTCGGGAGGCGGAGGCAGGAGGATCACAAGTTCAAGTCCAGCCTCAGCAGTTTAGCAAAGCCCTAAACAACTTGGTGAGAACCTGTCTTAAAATGAAAAATAAAAAAAGAGCTAGGGATGTGGCTTAGTGCACCCCCTCAAGAAGAATTAGAGAAACCAATTACAGAAATATGAATAGTAAGGCATACAGGAATGTTGGGGTAATACAAGTAAACTAAACCCTCTTCCATTAAAAGTGATCATGGATAATGTCTAAAATAGATACATTTTTAAAAGAGAGAGATGAATATATTACTTAGGGGTATAAAAATGACCACAGGAAAAAAGTTTAAATAGAGTGGTTTAACAAATTAAAAGAGGCTGGTTCTGGGAGAGGAGCAGGGTTGAAGAGGATTGAAAAATAGGGAAGGTGTTTTTTAGTTTGTTTGTTTTTTGGTATCAAGGATTGAACTCGGGGACACTCAACCACTGAGCCACATCCTTAGCCCTATTTTGTATTTTTTTTTTTAAAGACATAGTCTCACTGAATTACTGCCTTGCTTTTGCTGAGGCTGGCTTTGAACCGGAGATCCTCCTGCCTCAGCCTCCCAAGCCACTGAGGATTATAGGCATGCACCAATGCACCCAGCTAGAGGATCTTTTTATGATGATGATCTCTTTTCTAGTATTCTTTTATTTTATAACAAGCATATGTATTGCCTAGGGAACAAAACGGAAGCAGTTTAAATTGAACAAAACTAGTTCAGATCTAACCTACCTGGTAGTTGAGACTGCAGAAAGGTGGAGTGGGGTCTTACTGGTGGGACACAGGGTCTTACTGGTGGGACACAGGGTCTGATACAGTATATCAGCTTTTGCTGTTGACCTTGTTGGGGCAAGAATGATGGGCAAGAGGCTTAGAGCCACTGTCCAGATGTTTCATCCTTGCTGAGGAGATTTGGATACAAAAGATCCAAACAAGAGCTCTGCTGAAGAGTATTGCAAAATGGGTTTTTGTTACTGAATTATTTTCAAGTCCTTTGGACGCCTAGAGAAATGGTCCCATCTCTTCTTCACTTGTAAAGGATTATAGATACAAAGTAGCTCTGAGGCATGGGGGCCCTTTCTCGGCCTCAGCCCTGTAACAAGTCCTCCTTTAGAAAGGGGAATCTTGATTTTTGTGCTTGCTGCTTATACCAAGTTGGAAGAAAATGATAACTCTTTACAGATTAGCCCAGAAACCTCTTCATTCCTTTCTCTGTTGGCTTTGATCACTTGTTTCCAAGCCCAGATTTTCCCTTCATCTGCAATATGTCCTGGGGATTCTATGTAAAGGACAGGTCCCGGGCACCAGCAATGGAGGTTCTGATGCTGTGGCTGCTGAGTAGCTTTGGGGATCTGTAGTGATTCATGTAGCCCTTCCAACAATCTTACGAAATGGAAGAACAAAGTTCAAAGCCAATTCATTTCCCCAAAATCGCACTTATGTTAAGCATCTCTGTGTTCGGTCGGGTGCTGGTAAATGTTTAAGATCCTGTTGTTTCAAAACTTCCCTCCCTTCAAACGAGCCCTTATTGGGTGCCTTTGCCAATTCAGCGGTGAAAATATTCTGTCCTTGTCTGACTTCAAGCTATCCACATGGTATTAGTGAAGAAATTTTTAGGAACACACTAACATTTCAACCACCCTCTCATAAATAACTCTAAGGCCATAGATTATATAGTATACTAAAATCATTAGGAAGTAGGAAATTTTGTTCATTCCTTTAATTTATTCACTCATTTAGTAATTATTATTTCATTGTAAGTTCATAAAATTAAAATTTCAATAATGGCTGAGGTTTAACATTTAGCTTTCCAAAATTCTTAGGGCAAGGCAGCTCCTCCAGCAGGCCTGTGTGCCTGACCATGCAACTCTTTACATCAATGTTCTTTGGAAAAATGGTTCTTACAAACCTTTTCTGAAATGAGGTTTAACATAATTTTATTTATTTACTCACATATGGTACTTGGGATTGAACCCAGGGACACTTTATTTTGAGACAGGGTCTCCCTAAATTGCTGAGGCTGGCCTCAAATTTGCAATCCTCCTGCCTCAGCCTCCTGAGTGGCTAGAATTTTAAGAGTGCCTGGCCTGATTTTAAAGAGTCAAATATGTTTAGAAACTGCTGCATTGTTTGCTCCTTTAAAGTCTACCCTTTTGATTGGCATATGTTAGGCCCTGCCTAAGAAAGGCTCAAGTGAAGATCCTTAATCTCAAAACAATGGTTTTCTTTGTCATGAAATAGTAGCATTCAGCAGCCTATAAGATCAGTGTCCTTTGAGTCCAGTTGGAGGCATGTCCCATACATATAATCCCAAATAGTCCAGAGGCTGAGGCAGGAGCATGGAAAGTTCAAGGTCAGCCTCATCCACTTAGAGAGACTCTGTCTCAAAAATAAAATTTAAAAAGCTGGAGGCAGGGTGAGCTGGGGTGTAGCACAGGGGCAGAGCGCTTTCCTAGGTCCCATCCCCAGTTATGAGGGCGGGCATTGGAGAGGGGTTTTTTGGGGGGATGGGAGGTGATCCAATTGGGGAAATGCTATGCATTTGGGGAAATTCTAGTAAAGTGAATAAAGGCGCTGACTGGAGCCAGACCACCTGAATTTGAATCCTGACCCTGCTGTTTACTAGCTGTGGATCCTTTCCTGTCTCAGTTTCCTCTAAGCTATAAAATAGAAATAATTTGAACTCAGAGATCCTCCTGCCTAAGCCTCTCAAGCTGCTGGGATTATAGCTGTGTGCCACTGTGCCTGAATCTGTTTATGATGAGGATGATCTCTCCTCTCATATTCTATTTTCTTTTTAATATGGGTGTTGCAAGGATTTCATGAGCCCACGTGTGTGTAAAGTGCTGAAAGCAATTCCAGGCACCTAGAAAGTGCTATGTGAGGATAAGCTATGTTTGCAGTCCTTAGACCACTGAGCCTCTGTCCTAATCTCCAGACTCTCAGGTTTCTCAAGCTGTACCAAAGAGAAAGGGTGGAAAGGAATGGGCTCTTGACACTCCTTCAACATATTTCTCTAACCCTTAGAAGGATTATGAATTTGCTATTTTCTTTCCAGAGCCTGCTGATGGGGACTGTGATTTTGGATGTGCATACATTTAAATAAAATCTCTTTAAATAGAAACCACTTAGGTGTCACTGAGGACTTTTGTCTTGGCATCCAGAATAGCAGTGGTTCTGTGGTAGGCCTCTGCTTTCTGAGTCAGCATGATTGGGAGCTGGTATCATCACCCTTCACAGAAGACTGGTCCAGGTTCTGACCTTCCCTAACCACCTCCTATCCATGGCTTTTTCCCAGCAAAATGAAGGGCACGAAGCCCTCCAATGCCTGCCTTCTGGCCAATCTAGTTAACTGCATTCTGCCTTAGGAGAGGGAGTGGTGGAGAGGCCATGGTACACCAAGTTCCACAAGAGCTGGGGTGAGACAAGCTGGCTGTGACTTCGTTCTACTTCTGTGAAAGTCTGACTTTATTGGAAGGAAGGGTAAGTTTGGCAGAGGGCATGAAGAGACCATTAACAAAAAGAAATATGAATAGAAACACACACACACACACAGTACTGTACTAGGGATTTAACCCAAGTCCTTGTGCATACTAAGCAAGCCCTCTACTGCTGGGCTACATTCCCAGCCCTTTTTATTTCTATTTTTTGAGACAAGGTCTTTCTAAGTTACCTAGGCTGACCTTGAACTTGTAATCCTCCTGTGACAGCCTCCCAAGCAGCCAAGATCATATTTATGCACTACCTGAATACAACTGTAACTGCATCCCATGGATTTTAGTATGAAGAGTTCTTCCCATTTCTTTGAGGATTTTGTTGTTGTTGTTGTTGTTTGTTTGTTTGTTTGTTTTTGTTTTTTGGGTTTGTTTTAGGTGCCTGAGATGGAACATGGCCTCACACACACTAGGCAAGTGTGCTACATCCCCAGCCCTTTTTTGAGTGTTTGTTTGTTTTTCAACAACAAAGGTGTACTGTTGTTGTCAAGCTAAGTGGTTTAAATGTGTAGTTCCAGCTACTTGGGAGGTTGAGGGAGGAGGGCCTCAGGGAAGAGTTCTGAGCTCAGGCAATGGAGATGAGGCTGGGTAACCTAGCAAGACCCCACCTTAAAAAAAATAAAGAAATGGGTATATTGTTAGTTATTACTTGTGTAATAAAAAATAAAGGGAAAAAAAGTCCGGAAAAAAAAAAAAAAAAAAAAACCAATCCCACAGTGTTAGCTTTTCGAGACACTGACCAAATACTCAACATAAGCAACTTGAAAGATTTCCCTGGGCTCACAGTTTCAAAGGCTTCAGTCCATGGTCTGCTGGTTCAAGGCAGAAGCATCATAGCAGAAGGACATGGTGGAGAAAAACTGCTCGGCTCATGACAGCTGAGGAGGAGTGGGGGAGAGAGAAAGAAGCATACGCCAGTCAGCAGCAGTAAGCAGAACTGCCCAGCTGAGGCGGGCCTGGGTCACCTAACCTCATCAACTTGTATACATGAAATATGTAGATATAAATACAGTCTGTGAGTTTTCTCAAATATTTTTTTAAATTTGTTTTAAGTCACTGAGTTTGGGAGTAATTTGTTATATAGTAGTAAATCATACAACTCATCAATAAAATATATGTAATGCCATACTAAGTGCTGTTATAAATGATATAACCTATGCTTACTAACGTGGAAAGATGCTGTCTATTCAATACTGTTAAGGGGAAAAGTTAAGTTTCATAACACAACCAATCTAGGTATAATTACAATATAAACATACAGATATAAGAAAGGAAGTATTGCATTTTTTTTCTGCAAAAATAAGAAATGAGGATCAGGAAATATTTTGTTTTTGCTATAATCTTGTATATTGTTTGATTTTATTCATTCAAAGAGCATCTATCCATTTTATAATTGCAAATATGGCAAAGGCAATGATTATGATATATACTGAGAAAGCAGATTAGTCTTTCTAGCTAAAAAAATAATGTAACTAGAGAGGACAAGAGGATAGTGGGCAGCCTTGAAAGGTGCTAGATAGAGTTCAGGTCTGACGTACAATGAAGCAGATGTAACAATGGTCAACACTGATTAGTGCTTACTGTGAGTGCTCTGCTAAGGGCACTATCTCAGGTGGTCTTCACAGTGACCTTATGCAGCCATAATTTTAACCATCCTTATTTTACAAAAAAAGAAACAGGTTCCGAGAGGATAAATAATTTGCTAGAGATAACATAGCCTGGATTAGAACCCTCTGACCCCAGAGCCCATCTCCTTGCTAGTATACACATTTATCCTCATTGCATGGCTCTGAGGACAAGGAATGACATGGAGGAGTGACAAGGAGACACCAAATATGGAAGCCAAATACTTGACTTCTTACAAGGTGAAGGGCTGTAGATGAAGGTTAGGTAGAAGACATTATAGCAAAGAGGATATGACACAGAGTCAGCCAGAACCAGAGGTCATGTCCTACCTCTGCCCTCAGTAGCTGAGTAATTGTGCACCAGTTATTCAGACCAACCTAACCCTGGCTTTGTCCTTCCGTGAAAACATGGAAGAGTAAGCACCTCCTTCATAGTTGTGAGAATCACTTCAGGGCTTGGCAAGTAAGCCATTAATTAATGGTTACTAATATTTTAATATAAATGCTCTTTGGAAACTATAAAATGCTCATCAGATACTAATGCAACCTACGAACTAGTGAACTTGATGAGATTGATCAAGGCTGGGGGAGAGATTGCAGTCAGACACTGGGCCTGACCTGAGGGCCCTGATTGGAATCTCAGTGAGAGACCTCGGTGGGAATGCCCCATCAGGCAGAAGAGACATTCCTGTTGAAGAAGCCACAGACCTTGTTGACAGCCGGTATCCAGAGATGAATAAATGTGACAAGTTCAAAAGGTCACCATGGATGACAAGGAATGACCAAGGTTTACAATTTGGAAAAATAATGATGAACCTAATGAAAAATGCTTCATTAACGAGTCATCAGAACTGTGTTGAAGTTGGGGAGAGAAACCTATGAAGGATTTGTTCATTCATTTCTTCCTTCAGAAATATTTACCACCTATGTGGCTGACACTGTGGTATAGTCAAGCAGATTACAGTGTGGTGGTAATGAGGATCTTAGTCAAATGATCACACAAGTAGGTGGAAAATACACCTGTGATAAATGCAAAAAAAAAAAGTGTGTAAGGTTATGGAAATAGCAGGAAAGCATTCACTGAGAAAGTCATGAGCTGAGAGTTGAAGGATGAATAGAAACTTAAACACTGTTTAGTATTAGGTTGTTACTTTGCAGATGTGTGGCTCAGCTTTGAGGGGCAATTTATATTTAGCCATGTAAATTAGAGGTTCTCCCACTCAAGCATGCATCTGAATCATAAGAAGGACTTGCTAAAATACGGACTGCTGGACCTCAACTCCAAATAGTCTCATTGGTAAGTCTGAGGTGGCCTAAGAAGGTGTTTCTCTGATAACTTCCAGGTGACCCTGCTGTGACTGTTCTGATGGGCTTGGGGCACATTTTTGAGAACTACTGCTCCAAATTAACACAGTACCTCTTGCCAACTAACGGAACTAAACGTGAGCAACTTCTAACAAATGTTTTCCAGGTTGCTCGCCACAAAAATCAATTTCCAAAGTCTTTTGGTTGCAAGGTTTTTTACACGAGGTTAAATGTTAACATTGCATGTTCAACCTTTCAATCCTTAATAAAAAAAATAAAAAAGCAAAGAACACCACTGCAATTGTAGAATCGCCCTGCAGTTAGCTCTGGGTGAACAAATGTCAAAGCTCTGAAAACCACGCTAATGGAATCTTTGAAGGGAAAGATGGGTGCCTGGCCTCCAAGCCTGCAGCAGTGCAGAAGAGACCATTTCATTTCTGCATGCAGGGCTAGACAAGGAACGTGTTAGGAGGACAATGGGCTTGTTTTGAACGAACCTCCAACATATGGCATAGGAATTCTGCTCCTTGGAGGTTGGGAAAAGGGGAAGCTGCTAGCCATCAATTGCTAAGACATTTTAATGCTTTAAAAACCCATTTTTTAAGATTACACAACAAATGCATGAATATATTGCTCTTCTAAACAAATTGAAACAGCACAGACAAGGCTAAGCCTCCCCAACACTAATTCTCTGCGCCTTTCCTCAGAAGTAATTTATGTTGCTAATTTGATGTTGATGTTCCCGGGCTCTCTTCTAACAGTTTCCATGAGAACAGTTGATCATTATTGTTTTGTGTGATGGTATCATACTTTATATATTGTTCTACAGTTTACCTCATTTTTCACACATTGGTGAAAATATTATAGATTTTTCTATGCTGGTATATAATTCCACTACATTCTTCTTAATATTTGCATACAATTGCATAATATAGAGGAACACAGCTTATTGACAGATATTGAAGCTCCTTTTTCCTTCCTAGTTTGTTTTATTTTTTAGTGAAAATAAACATTGCTAACTATTCTTTATCATATGTGCCTTCCTGTAGGCATGTGTGGATGCTCCTACAAGGGACATACGGAGGAAGAGAGCCACCGAGACGTGGCACTGGCATCTTTTACATTTGAACAGATACTGCTGATCTGCCCTCCTACCACCAACCTTGTCACTGCTTCTTTATACATTTGACAATAGTTAGTATTACCAAATATTTACATATTACCAATATAATGGGTGAAAAATAGTATTTCATTTATATTTTGATCTTATTTCCTTATTACTCATAAACCTGAGCACGCTGTGTTTTCAGCATCCACCTGCATCTTCTTTGCTGAGAATTGACTAGCCATCAGCTGCTCACTGCATAATCCAGACGAGTCTTTGTTCTCTGTGTAGTCTTTTCCCCAGATGTTTTATTTTAGCTTCATCAATGGTGTGTTCTATCATTTGAGAGTTTTCAAATTTAGAGATATTCAAATTCACCCACACTTTCCTTTTGAAGGGCTTTGCCCTGTGTGTCTGCTGAGGAGGGTCTTAACTTTCATCTTCAGCTATTCTGGACCCCTTTTTGTGACTTATATTTTAAATAGATGAGTTGCAGAGCCAGACATGATCATATAGATGTTGTAGTCGAATCATTTTGGTTTCCAGGTGGGGAAACTGAGGCAAGGTCGAGGAATGTGATGTGCAGTATTCCTTGAGCCTAGGTTTTCACATTCTGAAGAAGATGATTCTAAATCCTTCCCTGATGCATCCACCATGACTGTAAACAATCACATCCAATCCCTTATGCAGAGGCAGTGTGACTCCACTACCTAGAACTGTATGACCTTAATGAAGCAACGTGCTGATCATCTGCACTGCGGACATCAATAACACATACCACAAAGGGGCATGGTGAGTGTAGATGAAATGATTTCTCTATAAGGACTTAGCATGTAATTTATATCTCAAACTATGAACTACTATTTATTAAAAGCAAGGACAACAAAATATCATTGCTCTTGCTTGTTTCTGAAAAACTTATTCTAAGTTTCCAACAACCTTATAAACACCTGCTTTGGGCACATCTTGTCCCCACCCCACCAAACCCTCCCAGCTCACCTTGTGCTCCAGACACTATAGCAACCAGTTCACCCCAGATATCGGCCGGCTTTGAGCACACACATGTCAGGGCCTTCCTTTGGATCACCCCTCACAACTTTTGCTACTTGTCCCACGCTCTCTCTGACACTCTAGGTAGGACACCTGAGAACCTTCTGGAAGTGTGGAGTGATTGACACCCTTGGGGAGATGACAGATGGAAAACCAAAGCCAATCGATAAGCATGTCTCCTTGTCATTGCTGGGCAGACAGTTCTGAGACTTATGCCATTAGACTCTCAAGGCACTCCCATGACCAACCTAATGACACACCCTTGTATTAATTCTCAGTCTATGTTCGTATCTCCTGGTCCTTCCTTCCTGATCCCCAGGATCATATCCCCAAATATCCCCATCTACCTCCATGCAAACTCTGTGTGTGTGTGTGTGTGTGTGTGTGTGTGTGTGTGTGTGTGTGTTAGTCATTGGGGACTGAACCCAAGGTTGCTCTACCACTGAGCTATATCCCTGGCCCTTTTTTTATACTTTTGAGACAGAGTTTCTCTAAGCTGCCCAGGCTGGCCTTGAATTTTCAATCCCCCTGCCTCAGCCTCCCAAATCATTAGGATTACTGGTGTGCACCACCATGTCTGACCGTCCAGGCAAACTTTTATCTCAAGCTCAGCTTTCAGGGAACCCAGCCTGAAACCAGAGTTCATGGATTAGAGGAATTCAGTGGTCACAGTCCTTGTCTTCAACCCGGGGCCTTGGCCTCAGCATCCTAATCTAGCACCCTCCTCATCCCCCATATTTCTGGGAACCCTTAGGGCCAGCTCACCTATCTCCGTGAACCTTCCCATATGTTCTTTGCTCTGGAACCCTTGCTAATGGTCATCATCAGAAGCCACATAAGGTGTTGTCGTATCCCTTCAGCTCTTGTCTATGCCCTTATGAGGGTATGTGCCCCCTCCCTGCAGCCCTGTGGATCTGAGACAGTGCTGCATTCCTGGAACACTCCCTCAAGGAAGCCACACAGCAATGCCAGAGGACACAGGAGGGAGGCGTGGCCCCCTCGGCCCTGTATTGTCACTTGGTCCCTGAAGCAGGCTGCTTGTGTCTCCAGGACTCACACAGTCCCTCATTAAAACAGCTCCCCTGGTCCCTGCCTGTCCTACCTAGGGCTCAGACACAAGTCTGTGGGACCAGGCTAGGGACCGAGAGTGGAACACAGCCCTGGTCTATCATCCCTCGCCCTATGGTTGCCCCTCAACTCCAGCCAAATGGCACTTTTCCGTATTAGGAAACCTAGCACATCCACTTACCACACACATCTGCATTCTAATCTAGACTTTAGCTTGTGCCCTTGGCATACTTGGGAGATAAAAATCGCCCATGAATAAATACTATTAAGGCTGATGTCTGTCCTTCAGAAAGAACCATTTCTGCTGGGACTGAGTCACAATCTGGCCATTTTATTCACCCTCCAGGATGTAGCTCTTATGGCCCCACAGCGTTCCTTGCACCCATCTCCAGACTAGTTGGAAGCTCCCTTGATAATCTAATGGCATCCTATGAAAACTCATAACTTCTATTCTTCCAAATCATAACCATTTATAGCAATGACACCCTCATTAGACTGGCTGAATCTTGAGATCAGTCTGTCCTTACATGTCATTAAATTTTCAGTTCATACCCTGGTCCATTTTAGGCAGTCAGAAAATGTCAATCAAGACAGACAGTGAGACACAGAACTCTTCTGGGAAGTGGAACTATCACTGATGGACTGGCACTCAGCACAGACTGGCTTAAAAGGGCTTGTCCACACAAGGCATCCAAGGATGTGCTTGGTGCTCATACCTGTGGGTAGGATCTAAAAAAGTTGACCTCATAGAAGTAGAGAAGTAGAGAGTAGAATAGCGGTTGCCGGTTGCTGGAGGCTAGAGAGGGTAGTGGGCAGGGAGTTGGTGGATGGATACTAAGTGACAGGAGAAATACAGACTTCTTTAGCATAGCAGGGTGACTACAGTTCATAATAATGTAATATATACTTAAAAATAGCTAGACAATAAGATGTTGAATGTTTTTCCACAAAGAAATGATAAATATAAGAGGTGATAGACATGCTAGTTACCCTGACTTGATCATTACATAGTATACATGTATCAAAACATCAAGTGCCCTATATATTTGTACAATTATGTTATTCAAAAATAAAACTAAATAAGTTCTTATTAAGTGTTATCCATTAGAATATATGCTTCATGACAACAAAGACTTCTTTTGCTTACTGTTATATCTCCCTACCCAGAACCATGTCTGGAACATGAAGGCTCTTGATCAATATTCATTGAATAAATGAATGGAATACAGGTATGTTTCCACCTGTCCTCTCCCAGGAGGGATTAACTGGTTTGATTTTCTACTTTTCGTTTCCCTGCTGTCAGGAAAGAAGAAGGCTTGGAGTTAATCTTCCTCCATCCTCCCAGCAGAACAGGGCACTGTGGCTGCAGTCTTGCAGATATAAACAAGAGCTTTGACATTAAGCAAGCCAAAGAAGCCTGGTGAGCAGCCTTCCAGAGTCACACAGTCCTATACATGGGCTGAGAGCATGTGAAAACATGACCACTGAACTGAAACTGTGGGCCAGAAGAAGGAGGGAACTGCGATATTTTTCTTTTGATTTATTGCTTTGTAAGGAGTTGCCTGTGTAACAAGAGAAGCGTGAAGAAATGGCAGAAACTCACTACGAATCTTGCAATCCTGAAACAGCCAACATTAACATGATCATGCACTTACAGGCACCGCCCTGCGTGTGCACAAATGTGTTATGTTGTGTTCAGATACCAGTGGCAGATAACCAGAAATGAAGGTGACGTAACCATGAGAGAAGCTCATTTCTCTCCAACATAGAAGTCTGGTGGCAAATTCTCCATAGCATCAGCTACCTGGCTCATCTATATTGTTAGAGTATTGCTTGTGGCCTTCACCTCATAGTCCAAAGGATAGTATTTGTGTCTAGTAGAGAGAGGAAGGGACAAAGTGGTGGTAGTGGTGGTGGTGGGGGCAGCCAAAGGAATGCTTGATCTCAAAGACTCTTCCACTTGACACTTCTGCTTACATCCCATTGGCCTGAGCTAAGTTGTAGGGGACTTGGGAAATGTAGTCCTTGTTCTGGAAGCCATGTGCCTAGTGGGAACTTGTTATTACCATGAAAGAAGGAGGAAGAGATATGCAGGAATATCCGGCAATCTCTATCACATTGTTTATGCAATGTTACATAATAGGATCCCTGAAATAGCCTGATGTAGTGATAAAGATTACAAACTCTGGAGATAATTATAGGTTGAAATCTGGCTAAGTCACTTATTCTTCAGTGTCCTTAGCTATAAAACAATGAGTAGAGGTCTGGGGATGTGGTTCAAGCGGTAGCACGCTCACCTGGCATGCGTGCAGCCCGGGTTCGATCCTCAGCACCACATACAAACAAAGATGTTGTGTGCTGAGAGCCATTGCCAAGTAGGAATGACGCATCGTAATCCTTGCCAGCGTACCCCATGTTAAATGGACTTGCCTTGGAAATTTGCTGCGACCTTGCTTGTGTGTTTGAGAAAGGTGACCCTGCTCAATGACCAGGGTGGATCCTGGATTAGGGTGTATCCTGCAGGAAGTATCCCCGTCCTTGGGTTTAGGGCGTGACAATAGGAGTTTTAGGGAAGTTGGAGGTTGAAGATTATTGCTGCTGGGAGTAGGGCGTGCCTGCTGCCTGAGTTCCAGCTGAGTTCTCCTGGAGAGAAAGTATTTAGGACGTGAATTGTGCAGGAGATTGGGATTGCCCCTGAACCTGTGTGGGCAGTGTGAGATTGGGAATAAAGAATTGCTGTTTGAACCTACAAAGCTGTGTGGTGGCTCGTGATTCTGTGCCAAGCCGAGACATTGGCATTTGGCAGTTGTGTCCACCGAAAACTAAAAAATAAAATATTAAAATTCCCTCTCTCTCTCTCCCCCTTCTCTCCAAAAAAAAAAAAAAAAAAAAAACCAGTGAGTAGAACAGAACAATTCTGTTTCATAGGATGGGTGGTGGAATTGAGTGAACAAGCTAATGTATATAAAAGGGTTTAGTACCTGACAGTTGGCAATAAACTGTCAGTGAAGTGAGCCCTTAGATTTTCAGTGTGTGTGTGTGTGTGTGTGTGTTGTCCAGGGAATGAATCCAGAGCCTCACATGCTAGGAAAGTGATCTACGACCTACATCCTCAGGCCAAATTTTCAGTTTTTTATACCCTCCAATTTAACAAGAATAAGGTTCTCTGTCATCTCCTGAAGCTCTCCTTATATTATTCTTTTGATTGGCTGCATGGGGCTCCACTATGTGGAGACAGCATACTTTCATTAGTCTGCCATCTATCACCAACATACAGTATTTCTAATTTTTTGCCACCAACATAAATTGCTCCTAATTTTTTGCCACTGTCAATAGCCCTTGCATTAACATCATTTTGAACTTGCATGATTAACTTCTTAGGGCAAATTCTTAGATGTAGGAGAGCTGGGTCAATCTTATGCATACTTTACATAAAACAATATATTACCAAATGGGTGAATAGCTAACTTCAGACACTGAAGCATTCCATTTTAACATATTGTTTACATATATATGTTCACATATATATTGAACCAGGGTCTCACACTTGCTGGGCAAGCTGTAAACCACTGAGTGACTTCCCAAGCTCTTTTGAATATCATTTTGAGACAGTCTCACTAAATTGTCCAGTCTGGCCTTGAACTCAATCCTCCTGCCTCAGCCTCCTAAGCTGCTAAGATTGTAGGTGTGCCCCATTGTGCCTGGTTTAACTGATAGTTTTTGAGCATCTACAGTATGCTCCTTGTGCTGTTTGCTATGCAAGGTCCAGAGATGGATAAGATATACCTGCAATTAGGAAGGAAATGACCACCAGGATCTGTGAGGCTGGGCACCTGGGAAGGTCTCTCTGAGGAAGAGCTGAGGGCCAAAACGTATGGAAGAGTTGTAGGAAGGGGAGGTGGGAGGTGAAGAGTGTGTCTAGAGAGAGGGAACATGGTGGGGTAGCAGGGTGTGGTGGCCAAGAGCATGTCTTCTGGAGCCAGAGTATCTAGGTCCAAACCTTGGCTCTGCCATTTATTACATGAGAATGACATCTTTAGGCTTCAGTGGGGACAGAAGTAACAATAGGACTATGGAGAAGACTGAATAGGGAATGCACGAAGTTCCTTGCAGACAGAAAGCACTCTGGGCCCGCTAATATTAATTCTTTCTCCTCCCTGCCACTGCTCAAGAATCTGAGCCTAAGCCTGAAAGTTCACCATTGGCATAAAGTGCCCTCTTCCTTCCCCCACCCAGGGTTTCCTTGCTCAGCATTCAAGGAGTGTCCCTGAACACCTCCAAGGAGACGGTGCGGAGCAATAGCCTTAGGCTCAGGCTCCAAGGAACTGTCTGGTGGCGGGAGATATTTTCAATTAAAAATCCCACACCAAATAAAACCGAGGTGGCTGCAAACCATTCTTTGGGTGTGGAGAAGCACGGGGCAACCTGCGGCAGCCTCTCAGGGGCGTGCAGAGAGGCGTGCCACACCAACCGGAGCCCACGACCTGGGGACCAGGGTGCTGCCGCCAAGTGAGGGGCTGGGGCTGGGGCGGGGGTGATGCTGGCTGGGGAGCAGCCCCCGGGGAAGCACACAGGAGAAAATGAGTGAGGGTAACCGGAGGTGAGAGGGGCACAGCAGCAGGTGTGGAGGTGGTTGCACTAGAGCACACAGCATCCCTAGTCCCAGCGATGATCCCTGGAGTCTAAAGGAGAGTGTGGAGACCCAGCCTCAGCACGAACACCTCTGTGGCTCCTCCACAGTCTGCTGTGGTTTCTTTTTTGGGAGGTAGGGTGGGGTGGGTGGACACTGGGGACTGAACCTAGAGCTGGTCCATCACTGAGCCCCATCCCCAGCGCCCCCCACCCTTTTTTTGATACAAGATCTTAATAGGTTGACCAGGCTGGACTTAAACTTGCAATCCTTCTGCTTCAGCCTCCTACATCCTATAGCTGGGATTGCACAGTACACAAACTCCCCAGTTGTCATTTTTGCTTACAAAAAAAGTGCCTCTCTTCTGGTCAGTAGTTCCTCGTAACTGTCCTTGGACTTGGTTCCCAAACAATCTTGAGACACAGAAGAACAATCCTCTGCACTAGCACTGTTTCACAGAAACAGCACTTATTGAACACCTGTTACAGGCAAAAAGGCTCAATGCTGAGCCTTTCACCCATCTTTACTTACTGTTCAAGGCTCTATGAGACAGATAGTACTAACTTTCTAGATAATTAAGGGACTAGAGATTCAGAGAGCACAAGTAACTTGCCCAAAGTCACGCAGCTATAAAGAACAGAATCAGGACTTGGAGCCCAAAGGCTTATTTGCTCCATATTTCCCAGACCACAGGAAAGTCATGGTGTGTTTTATTCGGGCTTGTTAGAATCTCAGGAACTGTTTTGTGGTGCAGAGTGATGCAGTTGGAAGCAGCAGAGAGCTGAAAATTACAGAAGCCTCTCTTCAACCCTGTGTGGAGTTCATTAAGCTGCAGGAAGCTCTTAATATCTTCAGCATTTCAAAGCAGCTCCATGATCCCTGAATAAAGGAAAAGAACTAATACCCATCTTTAAAAAGGTGAATGAAAGTCTTTGCTAACTAAAACTGCGGATAAGCATCCTCCTCATTTGGCTGCAATTACCTTGGTCCCAAGTTACATCATTGCTAGTGAAATGATTAACAAAATAATGGTAATGATACCGATGGTGAATTAAATGGAAATAAAAGGAGCTCAGTGTTCTGTTCAATTTCCCACTTGGGGACTACTCCTAAGTTGTGTTCTTCAGCTTCCCACTGGGAATTTCCACATGTAAATAAATATGCCTGATTGAAACTGCAAACCTAGATGTCTATGTGGCAAACACAGAAGGCTAGGCTTGGGTTGCTTCCCTCCCATCCCAGGTAGGGTGCCCAAGGTGAATGTCAATGAAGATGGATTTCTCCCCATGAAATGTTCACATGAATTATGTAAATAGAGACGGACGCCTTCTAGGACTGACCCCTGCCACAGCTTTGACATCCCCCTGGCCTCGCCAAACCAAGTGGAAAATTAGATTTAAAGAAAAATAATCAGGACTTCATTACAACCCAGATGCTTTGTGGTGTCTGGATTCTGACCGCCACAAATCAACACAATCCCACCAAGAGAAATTACCAATGGATGTGACAAGAAACGGATGTGGCAGTTGGGGTCTATTCATTGGCAGAAGATAAACTTGATCAGGGTTTTAATGCCAATCATTACTTTTTTTCTAATAGAATACCTTACAAAGAGAGTGAGAGCCCAGGATTGAAACCTACATTTGCCTCTTATTAACTGTGAGATTTGGGATGTTTTACTTAAGTTTTCTGAGCTCCTGATTTCTCATCTTAAAATAAGGAGAATAATATTGACAAGGTGGCTTCAAGAATTAGAAAGAGGATGCATGTAAAAGCAGCACAGGGTCTGACCCAGACTAATTGCTCAAAAAATAGGAACTGCTCTTATAATTATCAGCCTCATATTAAAGGTTATCTTGGGGGGAAGGGAAGCAGAGGTAGTGAAGATGAAACTGATCACATTGTATTGTTATATTCTGTCCACATAGGAATATGTAACTATGAATCCCACTATCACATGGAATTATAATGCACCAATAAAAATGCTTTTAAAAGATTGATTCTAATAGATTCTGATTCTTAAATATGATTTGATACCTTCTTTGGTCTCGAAATTATATGGATTTTAGAGTATACAAAAATAAATTTTTTTTTAAATCATCACTTATCTTCCACTTAAAAGCAATATAATTTGGAGCAAATTCTACCTTCATTGGGTCTTAGTTTCCTTGTTGTTTGTGAAAAAATCTGAGCTAAAACTCTTAGAAGAAAGCACAGGAACAGATTTTCCTAATCATTAATTTGGCAATAATTTCTTACATATAACAACAAATGTGTAATTGACAAGACGGACAAGTAGAACTTTGTCAGAATTAAAAGCTTTTATGCTTCAAAACACACCATCGAGACAGTTAAAAGGCAACCTACACAAGAATAGGAAATTGGCAAATCACATATACACACACACACACACACACACACACATACAGAATAAAAGAACACTTACAACTCAAAAACAAAAAGATAAACCAATTCTAAATTGGACAAAATATTTGAATAGACAGTTCTCCAGGGACAATATACCCATGGCCATTATAAGTGCATGAAAAGATATTTAACATCATTAATCACCAGGCAAATACAAACCCAAACCACAATGAAATAGCACTTCATTTAATTTCCATCAGAATGACTACAACAAGTGTAGGTGAGAATATGGAGAAATTGGATTCTTAGAAGGTTTGGAGAAGTCTGGGAGCTCCTTACAGGTTAAACATTCTTACCATATGGTCCAGCAA